AGTCAGGTGAGTCCATCTCTATTGACTTCATGAGCCTCATTAAGAGTCGAAACGGCAATAGTCACGTAATGGTCATCGTTGATAAATTCTCTAAGTATGCTATGTTCATTCCTTTGCCTGCTGAAGCAAGAACCGAATTAGTCATTTAGAAATTCCAAATGCGATGGGTCTTTGAGTATGGATTTCCTAAAACCATCGTATCCGACAGAGATGTTCGGTTCACCAGTCTACAATGGCAAGAGTTGATGGAAGTCTACGGAACCAGGTTGACCATGTCGTCGGGCAGACATCCTGAAACGAATGGCCAAACTGAGCAAATGAACCGTTTATGTCAACAACTTTTGCGAATGTACGTCCGTCCTGACCAGATTGATTGGGACGAGAACTTGCCTAAAATTGCTAGTGCATATAACAATAGTATACATACTGTCACGGGAAGGACACCTAACGCACTGCACAAAGGTTGGAAGCCTAGACGTCCGATTGATGCTTTAACAAGGGACCAAATTCAGAGGCTACCCCCAAGAACGCGTGAATTTGCAGTTCTGTATGAAGAAGATATTAAAAGGTGAAGGAAAACATACAGAAAGCCCAGTTGCACATGATTACACATCGTCGTCCTTCACAATTTCTGGAAGGGGACTTTGTCTAGGTTAAGTCTAAAGAGTTTTCCTTAGAAGAAAACGTGTCGCAGAAACTGCTACCTGTCTACTATGGGCCCTGGGAAGTTCTCAAAGTCATTGGAGGTGAAGATGGACCTTCCTATCGTATAGATATACCTCCACACCTCAGGACATACCCTATCTTCCATGCGTCTAAACTGCTACCTTACGTAGAAAGTGATGATTTTCCAAATAGGCCATCTATGATACCACCCTCTATGAATGGAGGCTATGAAGTGGAGAAAATATTGGAGCATGGCTATTTCTTTACAGGTGGCAGAGGACGACCTCAGAAATAGTACAAGGTAAAGTTCAAGTCCCAACCCCCATCTGAAGCTAGATGGTTTAGTCGGAAAGAACTTCTCCCCACTGCTCCTGATATTGTTGCCGCATATGAACGTGGGTTAACTGGGAATTGATGTAATTTTTGCGATGGAACTCGAAAATTGGGATGGCAGGAATGTAATAACCCATGCCATATGTCTCGGGGAACTGAGGGCCTCAGAAGGTCTACTTGGTTGCCCTCAGCCCAGGCCGAACAAGGGCAGAAAAGGCCCTTCACGAAATCAGGGTCTGGGCGTGTGACAGTTGACTTTGGTCAACTGTCGGTCCCCCCAACAGTCAAAGTCCAAAGGTACCTAGCCCAGGCCGCAGGCCAAGCACACACACTTGTTTGTACGCAGGTACCTAGACAGCATCAGGTCCAAGGGAGAAGTCTGCAACTGCACAATCCGGGCCTTCAGCTGTGAGTCAATCTGAACGACTGAGCGGAAATACACCGAGGCCAAACAGCCTCGCTGACTGCTACTTAAGGCTGGCCTCAAGTGAGTCAAGCATTCAGTCTTGCTATGCTGCTTTGACGCTGGCTCGACTTTGGCAAGAAGCTGGCTACATGCTGGCTGTTTACAGGCGCTGCGGGCGAAGGCACGGAAGGGAGGCAACATGCTGGCGCTTTCTCAAGTGCGCCAGGCAATGCTGATGTGGCGCTGCCTCTGGTCAACATGGCATGCTGATGTGGCGCTGCCTCTGGTCTACGTGGCATGCTGATGTGGCGCTGCCTCTGGTCTACGTGGCATGCTGACGTGGCACTGCCTCTGGCATATGTGGCGCTGCTCCTGGTATGTGTGGCGCTGCTATTGGTCTACGTTGTTGATGTGGCGTATGCCACCTGTCTTGGTTGCTGACGTGGCATTGTCCACGCTGTCTACATGAGGTGACTGGTTGCGAGGAAGAGGAAGTTCGGGATCTGTGGATGTAGAGAATCGGGTACTCACCTGTGGCTGACGTCGTCACTGGAAATCTGCTGTGTCTTCAAAGTCTTCCTGAGATAAAGTGCCACGTGGCACTATTGTATGCGACCAGGATTATTCTTATTATCATTGATGATGTAAAGCCCAGAGAAGGAGAGGGATCTGAAGGGTTCTGTGTATGCTCTCTTCCTCTCGTTTGTCTATTCTCCCTCCACACTCTTCTCTGTTTGAATAATGAGACACTGCTCGAGATATGACTTCACGATATGGGAACTTTCAGACAGATATTGAAACTACTGTTGATTGACGACTTCTGAGTACCTAACAGACTGGGTTCATAGCACAGTGCACAACTTGGTGCAAGCCCAGCATTTGTAGTTTTGAGTCGACCTGGCCTGCCTCCAATTGCCTCCTCGTGTGGGCATGGTTGACTCATGAGTAATCTGTGACTCGTTGACTTCCGTGCCTGGGTTGGTCCTGAGTGTTCATTTTCTTAAAGCATGTGTTGACGACTGGAGGCCCTATGTGCCTCCATCTGATCCTTCAGCCCAGGCCTACCAGACTGAAAACACCCAAGGACCAGCTTTCGACCCTAGAACTTTAGTCTGACCAGAAACTACGACCCCAATACATGTTCTGTGCTGATTTGACCTCAGTGAAATCCTGTCAAACAATTATAATTAATTAATTATCGACATTGAGGTGTTATGCCAAATGTAAGCTCAAGTGCAGAGGAGGAGAGAACATTTGGAGAACAGTGAATAGGGAAAAGTACAATTGTTGGGAGGCAATACTTCCACCTGGAGAAGGCCTGGAACTTCGGCAATGTTTCATTTTCATCGAGTCCGTCAGAATGGCCCTCAATCCTACAGAGTACGGTCTAGTCCCTATCTCAGTCAAAGATCTATGGTATGCACACCCCTGAAGAGTCGAGAGATGGGATAGAACCTGAGGTCCAAAGTCTAAGGGTCGTAGCTTTTGACCTAGCAAAGCCTAGGGGTCAACAGTGAGTCCAACAGACTTTGATACGTCGCTGGAACTGATATGAAATCCGTACAGACATGACTAGGGGTTACGATCCCTAGTCATGTCTGTACGGATTTCATGTCAGTTCCAGAGACGTATCAAAGTCTGTTGGACTCACTGTTGACCCCTAAACTTTCCTAGGTCAAAAGCTACTGGCCTTTCGACCGCCGGCACCCATGCAAGCTTCCCCCATCGTTCCCCCACACGAGGCCAACCACATCACATGTCCCGGCTGTTGCACATGCAGGCGATGCTCGTGCACCACACACTGCTACAGGAACCATCAACAATCCACCTCCTGCGCAATGAGATGAGGCTCATACAGCCACATTTGGTCAGGTCAAAGGTCTAGGGACCAAAAGTCACTTCCCTGACTCTGAAGAGGCATCAGAATGTCTCTTGGTGAATAGGTACCCGGGTCAAGGGTCGAAATGAGGCACCTATTCCCTTAAAGTCACAAGTGGATAATCTCAAGATTCAATATAGAAGGTAATCACACAACACTGCAGTTTCCAGAAGTTTGCAAGGCCCACTGGGCTGCGAGCAAATCTGCAAATATGGGCCCCATAGATCAGGAAATCTCAGCCCTTCGATGAGGCAAATGGAGGCATGCCAGGCCTTGCAATCACTATAAAAGAGTGGTCTCCCCCAGCTCATGGATTCATTCTCCCTTGTGCTGCTGCAGTGCATGCGCTACAGTGCATGCGCTACAGTGCATGCGCTACAGTGCTCGGCTACAGAGTCTTCTTCCTCCATAGCTTCGGGGAGGCAATGTGGTCGTGATTTGGAGGAAGAAGACTCCATGCTGCCGCAGAAGATAGACATCATCATGTCGAGTTCCAGCTTCCTTGTGCTAGTCTGGGATAGCCAGCGCTGTAGAGAGGTTGACTTGGCAAGTGACATGGGGTGAAGGAGTCGAGAGATGCAAGCCATGGGTGCTTTGAGGTGGTGAGGAGGATTCCCCTGGAAGAAGAGGGAGAAGCGTTTGAGCATTGGATTAATTGATGATACATCTTAGATAACTCCATGCTTTCAATCTTCTTCTTCACATAGTCTTATCTTTTTATACTCTCCATGATTTTGATATTTTTCTTCACATAGTCTTATCTTTCTATACTCTCCATGATTTTGATCTTTTTCTTCACATAGTCTTATCCTTCTACACTGTCTCAATTTTGCTCCTTATCATTCAGTTGAACAGTATGTGTTCATGTGAGATTTGATTGCAAGCTTCTGAAGTTGGGTTTATTACATGACCCTCAGCCAAAAGTTGTCTGCATAAAGACTGTGTTGCAAAATTCACACTAAGGGTGGTTAAGCAAGATAACTTTGAATTTTCTTTTATATTTTTTGCCTTAAACCACCAGTACATGCCAGCCATCAGCCGCGAACCCCTTTCGGAGGCCTCCCGCCTTTGATTTATTTTATCGACAGTGAGTGAGCCTCTGAAATTTTAGGAGAGGCTCAATCAGACTCTCAACTTGGCTAGAGCCATGTACTGGTGCTTTAAAAGAATCTTTCGATGTCTTTTGTAAGGAAGCTTTGTGAGACATTGACTCTCTGCACCCTGACATCCGGGTTACGTACCCGACCAGGAGAGCTCGTGGCCTGCCAGATGTCCGGCCCAGCAGCAACGCAAGTCTAACTGGGCACACAGAAAAACTCCAACTGCACAAGTATAACAAAGAGGTGTATCTTGGAATGTCGTGAGGCAGACAGTTTCCAAAACCTGTCTCAACTCCTCTGAAAATCTCGATGGTTGAGAAAAGAACATATCGGATTGACTTCATTGAAGTGTTGAGGTTTAGGAGACTCTAATCACAAACAACACACTGAGGAGGGAGGAGGAAGGGAGAGAAGGAAGGTTGGGAGGTACAGAGGGGGAGTGGGAGGGAGGGAATAATGGAGGATTGAACAACGAAAGCAAACCAGTTTGGAGTGTTGGGACAAGAGAAGGAGGCCACTGAGAAGCACAGGTTTTGGTGTCATCAAGTTTCATACTGAACAATTGCAAATGCAAAGATCAGTGGACAAAGACAAAATGGAGATCGTTCTTACTTACAAGTGATGGAGTGATGGCATTCTCCCGAGAGAACTTGGGAGACTTCCCGAAAAGGAGTTATTGTTCAGATGCCTGAAACCATACAGCAGCAACTGATATTATTTCATTACAGAGAACTTCATTGAGGCTAATACTTGGATCAGCAGAGGAACAATAAGTATTCAGAATAAGAACGACAGAAAACAAAAAATTGAAACTGGTATGCAAAACTCAACAGCAAACTGGTATGCAGCGGAGAAAATGCAATCCCGCATGTCACAGCATCTGCAACAAAAATATTGAAAGAATTGGACGTAAGATAAAATCTAAAGAATGTAAATACCGCAAAGAGAACACGACTTCCTGAAACAGCGAATCTGGTCTCTTAAAATCAACAATCAGCAGAGCACGGACCTTTCCTGTTTCTTGTCTTCGCCCATCCTGTGCTTTCCTTTTCCTTTCTTGCCCTCTGTCCTTTCGCCTTTGCTTCCTAAACAAGCACCCCTTATGTACGTATGGCCAATTGTAGAAGGCACGAAAGCTCAACAGAGTCCTTTGGAAGTTAGCGATGGTCCAACAGCCGCCCATGTAAGGAATGGTCCACTGTGTGTCATGTGCTAAAAAGAGCATTGCTTACAGAGACTGTTAAACCACCAGTTCGTCTGAGTCTCTTTTTCCCACTGTTAATCAGTGTGGATTTTTGCAAGGAAGATGAGCAATAGCGAAATAACAGAATTCCAAATTGCAATATCACACTGAAAGACAGATAGTCGTGAGCTGTCCAGAAAGCAGCAATGCACTGATATCACACCAAAGGAGAACCGAAGCAGCGAACTCATGTGTACACAGTAGAGCTACCACCACACCATACGTACACAATAGTACACAATAGAGATACCACCGCACCTTCATACGTACCCAGTCTTCCACGCGTCAAAGTTGTTGCCATGCACCATCAGTGAGCAGTTTCCTTCGTGAAGGTCAATGATTCCGCCAGACATGGATGGTGCGTACGATATAGATAGCATAGTGGAAGAGGACGTGTTCAGAACCGGAGGTCGAGGTCGTCCCCCGAAACAGTATAAAGTAAGGTTTGCTTATCAGGAACGACAAGTGGTTCATGCGAACAGAGCTCCTAGAAACCGCTTCTGACATAATTCATGCCTATGAGAGGGCAAGGAAAGATAAAGGTCCTATCTTGAGTTAGAGAGTTCTCGAAGGACCTCGAATTTAGGACGGCGTGAGTGAAACGGTTTCACCCAGTTTACCTGATAGATGAAGGCTGTAGGAGTCGATCCCTAGACCTACCCTGCAACCCTGTACATTTACCCTACCACCCTATGTGAGACTTGAACCCACAACCTGTTCCTAAACCCCGTAGGTTAGTAGTCAGTCAGTGTTAGTCAGTCGTAGGTCTTGGTCCCTAGGTCCCTGTATCAGTAGTCAGGTGTGTTACCGTTAGTCCTAGTTAGGGGTCTTCTGGAAGTTTCTACACCTAGGTCCTAGAAGGTCGTAGGTTTCCACTGGTCCTGTCTGAGTCAGCAAGGTGGAAGTCCACCTTGCCCAGTCAGCAAGTACCAGGGAGTCCCACGCGGTTCGGAGGGGGGGGTCACACAGTTTTCCCATGCGTTTTGGCCCAGGGCTGGGGCCAACCAGTCCACCTGCAGCCAAGTATAAATAAGGAGGCAGCGTCCAGTCATTCATTCATTCGCCTGTGAGCCTTGCGGAAGTGCTGCTGAAGCGACTTGTGCTGGGAGGTCTGCAGGTGCCCAAAGGAGAAGTGGGCTGAGGAAGACGACTGCAGCCATAGCCAGGAGGAGGAAGACGATGGCAAACATAGCCAGGAGGAGGAAGATGACGGCGGCCATAGCCGCCAAGATGCGGACGTCGACAGAGTCTACCGTGTGTGGTGTCGACAGTCAGGGTGGATCTTCATGTGTGTATGTGTGTGTGGCGTTGAGGCTGGTGGTGTAGATAAGAGTTCAGTGGGGACTTCAGGCAACCGTTCGGCGGCCATAGCTGCAAGTTGTACAGTTGACTTGAACTGAGGTTCTGGCCAGTTGGCCATATTTCTGAGTTATCTGTGTGGGCGCATGTCGCCAGTGCAAGCTCCTTTCTGATTCTGAGTTGATGAAGTTGGTATGTCATCGGCCCATACATATATGCATGTTGAAAGCGAGTTGGAGTTATCCTAATTAATCAATCAATCAATCAATCAATCGATCAATCCATCCATCCATCCATCAATCCATCAATCAATCAATCAACCAATCAACCAATCAACCAATTCCCCTACTCGTGCGTCAGGTCACACTGTCCTATTTCAAGAAGTGCAGATTTGATACCAACTGATACATGCTCAGTCGAGCGATGTATATGGAGCCAAGGATCCACAAAGTGATGAAACGGACGTGAATGGACAATGCAGCGTCAGCAAAGCATCAACAAGCAATGTACATCCAGATACATACTAAAACAGCACAATGTAGCGCAATGGAAGACACAAAGATATGGCCTGACCTGTCAGATACTGACACGACACCCCATCATACACCACACATGTGAGAGTGAAAGGAGGGACCACATACATAGAGGAAAGGTCCCTCCTTGAGCACGCACATGGGGAGATACCATGGATGAGGAGATGGGGGAGAGGCGAGACGAAGATGGAGAGGACGGAGAAGACCAAGATCGCGATAGCGAAGCCCAAAAATAGTCTCCCCGCTGAATGTCCAATCAATGTCCGCCACAAAAAATGTTGAATCAGATCCCGGGCTTAGTAGCCCGAAATAACCTCTGCCTGTAAACTCTCTCTCTCTCTTTCTCTTCTCTCATAGAAGAAGAAGACGAAGAAGAAGAAGAAGAAGAAGAAGAAGAAGAAGAAGAAGAAGAAGAAGAAGAAGAAAGAGGAAAGGAGAGATGGAGATGGAGGGTGAGGACAGCAGAAGAAGATGCCGCCCTCCTCGCTGTCTCACCTATAGGTAACTGCCGACATGAAGATGCCGCCGGCGCGTCTCTGGGGCAGGTCGCTGGCGTGGACTCCAGCTATAGCGCCCAGTTAAGTACCGCCGCTGCAGGTATGACCACCGCCTCTCTCTCTCTCTCTCTCTCTCTCTCTCTCTCTCTCTCTCTCTCTCTCTCTCTCTCTCTCTCTCTCTCTCTCTCTCTCTCTNTCTCTCTCTCTCTCTCTCTCTCTCTCTCTCTCTCTCTCTCTCTCTCTCTCTACCTACCTACCTACCTACCTACCTACCTACTCCTCTACCTCTAGTGCAGCGCCGTGTCCGCTGCTCCACCAGCGTGTCGCCCAATAAGTGAGCTACTCGAACTGTGTGTTTACCCTGGCCCGGCCCAGCTACAAGTAGCGCTGGGCCTCACTGGTGTGCCTTTGGTCCTTGGCCTGAAATGGCCTGCCTGGGTCCCTACCGGACGTCCAGGCCCTCCCTGCTGATGCAGCAGGGAGTGTCTGCTAGCGAACGAACACGAACCTGGCCCGAAAGGGCCTGACTGTAAACGAAGAAGGCCCAAAATATGGCCTTTGTCCGAACAGACTGAAAGTCTGTGTGGACGAACTGCAAGTCTAAAACGACGCCTGAACAGACAAAAATAGGACAGCAAATAAATAAACAAATAAATGAATGCTGCCTCAAATCGAATCCTGCGGCCCTCAGGTCGGCTGTGGGCCTCCAGGGCGCATGTCCGAGTGTCGTGCGATCTGGGAGCCCCCAGCAACCGTCGGGCCCCCAAAACGGGGCCCCTGTGCAGGCTCAGGATGTAACAATAGGCGGGCACCTTGCACCTTCCTCCTCCTCTGCCTCCATCACCCAATCGCCATAGCCAAGCACCTTGCACCTTCTTCCTCCTCCACCTCCATCACCCATCCACCATAGCCAAGCACCTTGCACCTTGTTCCTCCACCTCCATAACCTATCCACCATAGCCAAGCACCTTGCACCTTCTTCTTCCTCCACCTCCATCACCTATCCACCATTGCCAAGCACCTTTCACCTTCTTCTTCCTCCACATCCACATCCATCACCCATCCAACATAGTCAAGCACCTTGCACCTTCTTCCTCCTCCACCTCCATCACCCATCCACCATAGCCAAGTGCCCTGCACCTTAGTCCGCAACTTTGTCTTACTTCACTAAGGGACGTAGGACTACGGGAACCTAAGGAAATCCCTGGGTAAGGAGATAAGCGTTTGGATTGGACAACGGGGGATCTCTCTCTCTCTCTCTCTCTCTCTCTCTCTCTCTCTCTCTCTCTCTCTCTCTCTTTTGCTTCCTCTCTATCTCCACCCTCTAAGATATTCCGGATTTTTGTTCCTCCGCTCCTTTCTCCATCTTGGCTTACGGTTAACCCTTCTCCACTCTCTTGCCCATTGCCAGGGAACAGAGTGAAAAAACTTTGATCCCACTTGGTGGAGAAAGAGGGCAAGGGGGGGGGTGTCGGTCCCTTGTGCCACCAAGAGGAAAAGGAAGAGATTGTGAGAGCTTGCTGAGAAAGAAAAAGAGATGTCAGTTGACTCGACCAACACCCCGACTGCATAAAGAAGAGAAAAGATATGCGGGAAAAGAATGATAGAATGGTTTAAGGTATGGGGCTGGGAATTGAACCAAGGAAATGATAGACATCCGGGAGGGACTATGTTTTGACCCCAAATGGGGTTGTGTTTGTCCTCATTTGTGCCAAGTATGTAGGTAAGTGATAGAGCAAGGATGTCTTGTGCAAAGATTTGATGGCCGGTGAGGCTGAATAGCTAAAGAGAGATTGACTCAAGTGACGGGTTGTGAACGAACTCTTGCTATGTATGACCCCGTTCACTCATGCCTAAAGTCCAGTCCCACTTGTTTGAGTCATGGGACTTAGAGAAGGAAAATTGATGTGTACATGGATGTATGAGGGACGGATAGAGTCCTGAGAATGCATGGGCGGGGCCCCGGAAAGACTATGGGGCGTATAGGTGAAAAGGATAGCAAGGCTCAATGAGGCAGGGTCTCATGCATCTTGCGCGAACGGTAAAATAATTCATGGATGACATACTGACTTCGGAGAGCGGACAAGCCGCAAAGCGAGCCTGAGTGACGGAGGGCTTCTCCCGACGGGACAAGCAAATAGAAAATGAGGGCACGAGGCAGGGAAGGAGGGACACCCTGGGGATGTAAGAGAAGGCGGTGCTCCTAGGCTGGCCTGCATAAGCTGAGAGGTGAGTTCCTTGCCTCAACAAAGCCAGTTGGACCCTCAAACAGGAAATAGATGAACACCCCAAGGAGGCGCTTGGCCGGCATTGGAAAAAGAAGATGGACTCTCAACGAATTCCCTAGACTGTTTGAGTATTGGAAGGAACAATTGCCTGAGAACATAATACTCACCAAGAATTGACGCCTTGCCTAGATCAGCGAGATCACCCACCCTAATGCGAGGGCTAAGCTACATCCCCCAATGTTTTGGGTCACTCGCTCGATGGCCCATCTCCACCCATCTCAAAGCACTAGGTGGGGGTGTCCCTCTGACGAAACGCCCCACACCCTCGGTGAGTACCCTGGCGGGGCTGAGCCAACTGGGATCCTCTGGCAAGGCGGGAGGGGTCGACTTAGGCTCGAAAGTCTAACAGGGTGGAGCCCTACACCGGGCACCTGGAAAAACAGCCTAGGAAAGCACCTCACATGACTTTCCCCATGTGGTTGAATGCTATTCACAAACATGCAAATGTTAGTAAAACAGATGATGAGTTTGAATCCTCGCACTGAGGAACACACAAAGACATACATGTCAGTGCACCAAATCCAAGCACCACGAAACACGGCCATCTGTGGAAAAGCTGCTTCTAATTGCCACATAAACAGATGACAAAACAAAATGATTCAGATGCCCACGCCAAAGACACTTGTTTTCCTCCCAGAAATATAGAAGGGAAGGCAGAGGTAAAGGAACTATAGTGAATGGCCAAAGGCATGGAGGAAGGGCAAGATATACCAGACAAGCAGAAGAAACACACACACACACACACACACACACACACCTGTCTCTTATACACATCTAGATGTGTATAAGAGACAGGCATGTATACTAACACAACCAAACAAAATGTAGATAATAGGCAGGTCAATTAACTCACCACGCCCCAGAAGCATACTACTGCAGAAATTAGAAATTGTCAATCAACAAGGCCTACTGGAGCTGTCTCTTATACACATCTAGATGTGTATAAGAGACAGGAGAGAGAGAGAGAGAGAGAGAGAGGAGCTGCAAACTTACAGATGTCCACACCACTGGAGATTCGCCAGAGTCTCTGGAAGAGGGCCGTCAAGACTATTCTCATCTAACGAAAGTCGATAAAGAGCACTTAAGTTCCCGATTGACAAAGGAATAATCCCTGATATTTGATTGCCTGTCAACAAACTGCAACAGCAAGTCAAGAGCACAATTACAAAGAAAAAGAATCAAACACAAAACCAGAAAATCACATTTGTGAAGCCCTCTGCCCACAAACACGGCTTGACAGAATCGTGCTCAAAGACATGGCTACCAACCTCGCCAACAAGTGGGAATTCTTACACATTTCACCAGTTTGGAGGTCTGCAATGCATATACGAACAGAGCCAAACAGAATGTAGAGTTGTGTGTATACTAACACAACCAAACAAAATGTAGATAATAGGCAGGTCAATTAACTCACCACGCCCCAGAAGCATACTACTGCAGAAATTAGAAATTGTCAATCAACAAGGCCTACTGGAGAATGAGAAATGAGACACTTCGCACCAGTAGTGTATGTTACTGTCACTGCTACCTATGGCTAAGATGCTTACATTTCTTAATCAGGCGTTTACAAATCAGGCAATGCCCAGAATATGCTTGCGTGGAATGCCAGGCATTTCACAATCTAGAGAGAGGGTGTCACATGCCAAATGGCGCAGACCAGAACAAAGAACTGACCTCTCAATGATGGAGCAATGATAGCACAGCGGAAGACTGAAATACCAACAATCAGACCCAATCAATGTCGTGACACAGACTGAACATCACCATCATCATCATCATCACACGATGTGAGTGGCCTGGGGCCGAGCACAAAGACGAAGGGCGAGAGGCACTCATACACAGATGAGGAGGGGGGTGGAGAGACGAAGGGGGAGGATATGGAGAATGTCGTCAACCCAAAATGTCGTCGATGCTGATCCAAAAATAGTCCCCCCGCAATGTCTCTGCCTCAATGTCAAGTCTGAATCTGAATGTCGCCAAATCCCAATGTTGGAAATCTCTCTCTCTCTCGTAGTCCGATGTTAGAGGGAGAATAGTGCACTGGAAGAGGGGGAAGAGGGGGGATGGACTGTAGGAAAAAAGGAAGGAGAAGATCCCTCTCTCTCTCTCTCTCTCTCTCTCTCTCTCTCTCTCTCTCTCTCTCTCTCTCTCGCGCGCGCGCGCCCGCCCTGGTACCAAGTACTGACATGCGCAAGATGTCGTCTTGATGCAGGTACAGACGCACTGAGGACGAAGTTGGAGTGATGGAGCCGACAGGTAAGTCCCCTGGCCTCTGCCATATCCCTGTCTCTCTCTCTCCTCTGATGTAGTGAACTGCAGCTATGCTGTGCTCGCGCTGAAGCCCGATCTCCCTACCACTATCGTCAACTACTACTACCACCATGAAGACCTCTACTAATGCCTATGCGAATGCCTTCTGAGGCTGAGGCGGACCAGCTATAAATAGTGCTGGTCCGGCCTCCGGTGTACCTCAAGTCGAAATCTAGTGCCTAAAACTGGCACCCAAACTGAGGCTGGGCCTCAACAGCCAGCGCCTAACGACACGGCGCTGCCTCCAAGGTCTGGCGCCAAAACGTGCGCCAGGGCCTGTCGCGGGTCCTAACCTGGGCCGAAATGACACATGGGCTATATGGACCTAAATATCCCCTAACCAACCCCTAGTCCTACCTGAACGGGCTAGGTAGGGCCCGTGTGGAACTCGGAATGCCACCCCCCTCCCTCCTTGAAAGACCGAGCTTATTGGCGAGGGCGAACCTGCCTATCGGAAGAGGGACCGTAGTCCGGGTGGGAGGGGCAGGTTGTGAAGCTTCCTTGGCTAGTTGTTGTCGCTCCTAGTTGGCGTAGATCAGCGGTGTCGATGCTTGCAAGTCTGCTCGTGAAATCCACCGTGTGTTGTCGCGGTTGCACCACTTATATGTAACCTTGTACTACATCGGCTTGTTGCCGTACTTGTCGTACATGACAACGCGATCGATCTCCTGATGACCATCCATAGACGGAGGGTCCTGTGATCGTTGGTCCGGGAAGTCATTGCTCTTGGCTGGTGTATACGTAGCCAGCTTAGAAGCGTGAAAAACCGGGTGGACCGGTAGACGCGGCGGGATGTTGATCACAAATGATTGGCCATCGGGCTCGTCGCCCGCGGCTGAGGTGACGGTCCAAGGTCCAAACCACTTGGGGAGTAGCTTGCGCAAAACGTTTTGTTCGAGCGTAAACTCTTTCGTGGAGACCCAAACAAGGTCGCCGAAGCAGATAGGACATGGCACGCGACGCCTATTGGCTTGCTGCTGCATGCAGACTTGAGCCTTGTGCATGTTCGCGCGGGCTCGAGCCAGCAAGTCCCGGTACTTCCGAACGGAGGCGGAAGAGCAAGGGGCATCAATGTCGGCGATCTGCAGGAAAAAAACATCAGCAAAGATTTGACATTTCCATCCACCGTGGTGCACCTCAAATAGAGTCACGCCAATCACCGGATGCAACAAAGTGTCATAGGCAAACTCAATGTCGGGGAGGCAGTCAACCCAATCCTTTTGGTCCGAACGGATGAGCGTACGGAGCATCATTTGAGCGGTTTGATGTGCCCGCTCCGTTTGCCCGTGTGTTTGTGGATGCCAATCCGAGCTCGGTTTCATCTCGGTGCCAGACTCCTTTATGAGAGAAGTCCAAAATGCCGACACGAAGCGAGTGTCGCGGTCGCTGATGATATCTTCCGGAACGGCGTGGCTGCAAATCCAGCCGGTGTGCAAGAGTCGCGGGAGCTCGGGAGCCGTGGCTTGATACTTGCAAGGAAGGAATCACACTTACTTACTCAAACGGTCAACAACCGTGAGAATGTCGTCGTGCCCGAAGAAATCGACGGGGAATGGGCCAGTGACATCCATAGCAATGGAGAGGCCGGGTTCCCGAGGGATAGGCAATGGCCGCAACTCGCCATAGGGGTTGTGGTTGCGGGGTTTGCTTCATCAGCAAACTTCGCAAGATTCGCAATACCTGGTGACATTTGTAATGAGGTCAGGCCACCAGAATCATTGTCGAAGTCTCGTGATCGTATTGTTGACTCCGAAGTGGCCGACAAGTCGCGAGTCGTGGTACTCTCCGAGAAGGCGAGTCTGTAGTCGATGGTCTCGTGGGATGCATAATAAGTCGTTGCCTCGTGACTGACGGAGCAAGTAGTCGTCGGTAATGCGACAGCCGCTGGCCAGGGGGTGATCCGAAGAAAGCTGCTCTTAAATAGTGGCGTATTTCGGATCCAACTTGTATGCGCGCACAAAATGCTGATGTAGGTCGTCGCCGAAGTTTAACACGTGATGAATCCATGTGCAAAGATTCGATCTTCGCGAGAGAGCATCTGTGGCTCGGGGTGAGATACCCGAAATGTGCTTCGGTGTGAAGTCGAATTGATTGATGAAATACATCCACCGAGCAATTGTGCTACTCACCGTGTCCTGCGTTTTGTAGTAGGTCAATGGGTTGTTATCCGTCGCCCAAGTGAACCTACGACACCCGCAGAGGAAGTGTCACCAACGTTGTATCGTAGTCGGAGGTCGATGCTTCGTGTCAAACAAGAGTTGACTCCTCATGGTCAGCCTCTGCGTCGTATCAGCTCCAAGGGCTGCTAGTCGTCAGAGTCGACGAAGCGCCGACGCGCTGGTTAGTTCCTTTGGACCTAGTTAACCGAAAAGACGACACGACGGTCTAGTCTCATGGAAGCCGAATCACGGCCTTTGGGCTGAACCACCGCGTCTGCAAGGGCCAAATTTGTGGGGCCCGGTCCAAACGGCACCGAAAACGGTCCTAGGGTTAGTGAGAAAAGTAGGGTTGACCGTTTGGGACCGGACCGACATGGCAGTATGGCCTTGCCGGGAAAAGGCACGACTCGAAACGGTCAAGAGAACATGGGATTAGGCCCTTATAATTTAGAGGGGTCCGGTTTATTTTTAGAATGGGACCGACCCTTCATATTCCAAGGTTGGGCCTGTCCCAATCCCGCGCTAGTCAGGCCTGGCCTATTTTTAGAACGGGACCGACCCTTCGTATTCCAAGGTCGGGCCTGTCCCGATCCTCGCTATTTTTATTGCAGGCCCGTGCTAATTTTAGCGCAGGCCTGTGCTATTTTTAGTGCAGGCCCGTGCTATTCGTATTCCAAAATCAAGACTGATGCTAATTTTAGCACAGGCCTGTTTAGCACTTGCCTGACTCTTTGGGACTGCAGCACTTGGGCCCGACCATTCAGATTCTCCACTATAAAAGGAGAGGCAGTGTCACTCATAGGACATGAGCTGCTGTGTCACTCTCATTAGACACGTCCGGGAGTGCGGATGTGGCATACTCAGTTCCACACGGGCCCAGCCGAGCCTGACCAGGTAGGCTAGGGGTCAGTAGAGTGTAGGGTCTGTGTCGTTTCTACCCTCAGTAGGGTCCACAGGGTCGGTAGGCTGATTTTTAGGCCTGAGTAGGACCGGTACCAGTTAGAGGCCCTGTAGGCCTCGTTTCGGTTATAGGCCCTGGCGCAAATTTTGGCGCCAGACCCTGATTTTGAGACCGCGCTGTTTCAGTAGGTGCTGGAGGCCCAGCCTCAGTTTGGGCACCAAACTTTCGAGGCCCGGCCTCAGTTTGGGCGCCAGGACTCCGTCGCTGAGGCCAACCCAGCGCTATATATAGCTGCATCCAGCCTCAGTCCGGTATTCAATAGAGGATCGAGTGGAGGCATACTTCGGACGACGGCAGTTCAGTAGTAGTCGACGATAGGACTAGTCTTCCAGCGTTGGGCGGTGATAGAGTAGAGTAGCGCAGGAAGGGAGAGATGGTGATGGAGATCAGGGGACTTACCAGAGACTTACCTGCGTGGCCATCGCTCCAGTTTCGTCTTCAGCACGTCCGAACCTGCATCACCGTGCCACCTTTCACAGGTCAGAACAGGTTACGAGAGAGAGAGAGAGAGAGAGGTCTTCTTCTTCCTCCTCTGGTCGACCACCTTCCCCTTCCTTTCCAGCACTCTGACTTCTTCTTATCAAGCTATGAGAGTGAGTGTGTGTGTGTGTGTGTGTGTGTGTGTGTGTGTGTGTGTGTGTGTGTGTGTGTGTGTGTGTGTGTGTGTGTGTGTGTGAGAGAGAGAGA